TAAGGTGAGCCATACCTAAAGAAACAGCTTCATACGTTTTCATCAAGCAACGAATTCTTCTGCAGTAGCACTACTCATTTCCTAATTGATCTGTTTATAACTTTAGATTTTCAACAGAAGTCTGTGAAGTGAACTATAATCACTGCTTGGTTTCAATAATCTCTTTTCACCGAAGAAGAGTACTCTGTGCAAATTAAAAGTTCTTAAATACATATTACTTGGTATCCACAAAAACACACAAAGGACAACACTGGAGTACCATTTACATCTCATTTCATCGTCACAGCCACACTGAGAAGAGTCATCCCCATTTAAAAGTTGAAGTGAAGCTCAGAGGTTTGATCTTTGCCGAGGTCAGCCTGGACGACTTGGTCAGACGTTGTCTCAAGATACAAGCAGGAAGGCAGGACATGTAGCTCAGAGGTACAGCACTTGCCTAGCATGCACATGGCCCTACGTTCAATCCCCAGCACCACCAAAAACAAGAAGTATTTTTAACTATGACTGCATCCTGTGCACCGGTCTAGCCCTGTGTGATAATGTGCTCTTAGAGTCAGCATCAACTTCAAGGTCAAAGAAACCAGAAATTCAGTTTGTTGTTGCAAACTCAACCCTATCCTTCAGTTTAAAATCCCCTCAATTGGCCAGGCGTGGTGGCGCATGCCTGTAATCCCAGCATTCGGGAGGCTGAGGCAGGAGGATCACTGCAAATTTGACACCAGCCTGGGCTACAAAGTGAGCTCAAGGCCAGTCTGAACTACACAGCAAGATCCTGACTCAAAAAAAGACAAAAAAAAGAAGTCATTATGCACTTAAGTGCCAGCCTCTGTACTACCTGATTACATAGGATATGCTCTCATTTACTGTAAACAACAATCCTATAGAACCTACTAGTAAATAGAGAAGCTAGAATTCAAGTCTATGTGTGGGTTTTCAAGGTCTCAGGTTTGACCTCTAAACAGGAGAGTTGGTGTTGCACACAGAGGAAGAAGAGAAAAAACAGGGCAAGAACAGGGCTGGATGAGGGTTGAGGGGAGAAGACATTCTGACTCAGAGCACAGAGTGTTGTCTAAATCCAGGAAACCTCCCTCTTTTGGCTCAAAGATCAAGGTCTGCTTTTGGGTCTGGTTTCCCAGCTGGTCTCCCTGTTTCGCGGCCTCTGACCTTCCTAGCATTTTAAGGCTGACCAGCTAACTCCAATCTGGAGAGCTTGACCTATTTGAGCACATGGACTCCTTTCTGGAGGCTGAAATGCACAATTAACAAGTAGTTAAGAACTGCCATGACTAAGTCTGTTTCTCTGCCCACCTTCACCTGGTTTTTGGAAAAACACGGAAGCTGGAGGGATTCCATCCGCACCTTAAGCTGCAACATCTTAAGGGTTTGCTAATGTGGATGTGTAGAGGGCAAACTCAGAGGCAAAATCTAGCCTTACTCCTCAGAAGGGCACTTGGATGCACCTTGAAAACCTTTTGCTACATATGTTAAAATACTCAAGTTATATGAAATGTCCAGAATGGGTAAATCTCTACCAAAAGTAAATTAAGGGCCGCAGCAGGTAGAGGTTAGGCAGTGACAAGTACAAGATTTCTTTTAAAGAAGGATGAAAATATTCTGAAATCAGAATATAATAATCTTATAAACATAATAAAAACCCTGAACTATACACTTTGTGGGTAAACTGTACAGTACTGTATTTAAAAATAAATCTCAATAAAGCTGTTAAAAAATCTAACTCACTAACTGGTTAGTGAATCCTTTTCTCTGTTACCTGGAACAATACTAAAATTTAAAAAGTATTATAGTTAAAAATTAAAAATACATGTGCAAAGTGTTATCTTGTGTTTAAAGATATCAAATACCCTAGCCAGGCATGGTGGCACATATCCATAATCCCAGCCCTCAGGAAACTGAGGCAGGAGGATCACCACAAGTTTGGGGCAAGCCTGGGCTACAGAGCAAGACCCTGTCCCAAAAAGTAAAATTAGATTACATTTTAAATGTTACAAATACCATGACTTTGGAAATATGAGTACTTTGCCTCTGTATCTGACCCCTCTACTTTGACAAGAGTCATTTTAGATGAATTCCACGGATGGGAACAACACAAGTGAGTAGAATCTTCTCCATGCTCAAACCACAGTCCACAGGCCACATTCTTCATTGCTCTACAGTAGTAACTGTCCTTTCCCTTATTCAGTACACACTGACCACATTTACGGGCAATCTTCTTTTATTACTTGCTATGCAGATCTTCCAACAACTGCTGCTCCCCTTTCTCCTGATATCTTTGTTCTAGGGTATACAGTATCCCTGTAACAATGACAGACAGGCAAGAGTCTTAACTCTTTAAGCTGGCTAAACCCAATACTAGAGGCCCCAGGGCAGCCAAGGTGATTCACTGGAGTGGGAATGTCACTGGGGAGCACAAGAGAAGAGATGACTGAGGAGATGAGGAGATAATTTAGAATATGGGACAAGTAATGAGTGTACGCCTTTAAAAATCTAACTAGCTTAAGGAATCTGTAGTCTAGAATATTTTTACTGATTGCAAAGCATATTTGAATTTCAAGGGTTTTTCTTTCCAAGTTTTGTTGTCATTTCAGATTTAGAAGAGCTTACACTTTCACAATGTGTCAGTTACTGCAGGAAAAGTATGTAAAAAATGAAGATCCACAATCCCTGGCTCTCAGATACTAAAATCAGAGGGAAAAATTAAACATACTTGCATGAGATTTAAGAATAACAAGGGTTGGGCATGTAGCTCAGCAGTAAAACACCTGCCTTACACGCATATGGCGCTAATCTTGCTGTCCAACACTGCCAAAATCGAACAAAATGAATAAAAATATATTATCAATGCAACATACACTACTTTGGAATACTTTAAAGTATTTACTATGGAAAGGAAGATGCTAAATGAAAGTCAACAGAAAGTAGGGAAGGCTTCCCTAATACTGTCTGCCACTAGCATTTGCTCAAAGAAGGCTGTACAAGAATAAACAGACTTGAGATTAAGATAGCAGTTTTGTAAGGGAGAAAACCTATCAGTAGTACTTACAAAGAAAAATTCTAAACTGAGAATTCTGGATGAACAAACAATTTATTTCTTAACCACGATTTAACCCTAATTATTCAACTGTCACTTCTGCTAGTCCATTTTTCAAGTCATTTCAGCTCAGTTCCCCTCTACAAAAAAACTGTCTAAAATTTGGTAATCTTTATTTTCTTTGTTTTTGAAAGATTCCCTAAACTTGGTGAGATGACCGAATCATTTTCTTTTGAGATCCAGACCATATGTAAGTAATGCTATATATAATAATTTGGTTACTTCTTCTTAAGCACTTAAAATTTAAGAATGATTTCCCAATCCAGGGTAAACTGAACTTAACAATATTTCACTTCAATAATGATATCATGATCCTCTCTGCTGTAGCAATGTTCTAGTTCATATTTCACTTCTAAACTCTATATAAACCCTTCCCTAGTTTAGCAATTATCCTTCCCATAGGGTTAAATCTTTTCAGTCCAAGAGCTACTTGTGAAATGAGTTGTCACATCCTTTGCCTTTCACTAAGGAGTCACACAGAGAGGAGTTAATGGGCAGTCTGGTCAGTTTTAAACGGAAAAAAAGTTATTAGCACTGGTCTTTACTTGCAAAGTACAAATTTTTATCTAGGTAATTGATTCTCTATGTTGTTACTGTCTTGTGTAACTGTTGCCAAATTTCTTAATCAAATTTTTCCACTCTGCAAAAGGAACCTGGGTGAGTCACTTACGAAATTATAATCTTAATTATAATCAAACTAAACACCTGTCTTTCAGAGACTATAAAAGCATAACAAGCGATCGTGAGAAGTATCCCAGTAGTTGCTTCAAATCACAAAGACCTCAGAAAGCCATTTCTACTTGAAATATTTTCTGTTTACGTTGCTGTCCTGAAAGGTTAACTTATTATACTTTTCCTACTACGTTTTAAAAAGGCTTTTGAATAAACAAACTAAACAACCAGGAGTAACATTATTCGGGTGTCTTACTTGAATTTAGTCTGCAAGCAACCCCTGAAGACACCAAAATTCAATAAAATGCTTGGGAACTGAACATTCAATTATAAAACATGAACAGTCACATCAGAGAACCACAAATTATCATCTTTTATCCAAAGCCAAAGCAGGAAAAATAAACGAAATTTTAAAAGGCAACGGCGGGGGTCGGGGGAGCGAGAGCAAACAAGTAGTTTCCCCAACGTTTCTGATCTGACCTTTGCCCTCCACTTTTAAAACCCTCCGACCGGATGGTACAAGATCCGTATACTTATTTAGCTCACTTTGTGGGGCTGCTTTTTCTTACAAACGTCCTTTTGCAAAAAGCATCTCTGAATGTATCATGAAGTTATCATTTGGCGGAGGCAATAGTTCCTGCTATTCGCTGGGACTCCGGAATTGTTGAGCAAGGACTTCTTTTTTTAAAGCGACTTTGTAAATTACACCAAACAGGCCGACTGCAAGTAACTGAAAGTGGCAAGGTTCCACGATTCGGAACTGCGGACATCCTGGGTCCCTACACTCCATCTCCCAGTCCTCAGCCCTAACATTCGAAGAGTGCCTTTCTTCCTTCACGCGGGGCGTTCTCGCTCTATTTCAAAAGCGCTCAAGAAGGGGCGGACTGAGGCAGTGAGGCGAACCCGGAACGGCTTCGACAACCCCCGCCCCGGGGAGATCGGACACACTTCCCCCGCGCCCACCACGCTGCAGGGCACCGAGGCTCCCCGGGTCGGGCCAGCGATGCTTCCGGGCATGCTCAGACGCCACGCGCTCTCGGCAGCCGCGGTGGCCGGGAGCCCGGCGGACGCGCGCGGGACGCGACGCCTCGGGAAGGAGAGAGCGCTGCAAGGGCCGGGGCGCCCGGCGCTGGGCCCCGACCCGCTCAGGTGGCCGCGCCAGGCCAGGACGAGCCGAGCCGAGCCGCGGCAGGAGGGGGCGGCGCTGCATCCGACTCACCTGCCCATTCACCGAGCCTAGGGCCGACCTCCGCCTCGTTACCCACACCCCAGAGTCGGAAGGCCGTGAAGAGCGAGTACGAGACGCGCAGGGCCAGGTAAGTCACGGTGCCCGCGCCCACCCAGTACAGGAAGCCGGCAGCTGAGAGAGCGCCTTCCATGGCTTCGGACCGGGCCTCACTATCTCCGTGAATGAAAAAAAAAGAAAAAGGAATAAATGAATGAAGCCGGGAGGAGGCGCCGAGCGTGACGCTGAGGACGACACTCAGAGACGCCGTTCCTGGAGTACTTTGCACCTAAACCCCGCCCACGTGCCACGTCCGCGCCGTCAATGGTGCTTTACCCTTCCGCCTACCCGTACTGCATCATCCATTGGCTAACTTCAGCTCCATCGCCCCGCCTACCTCTCCCTCCCCTTCGCAGGCTTCAGGCAATTCTTCCGCTCTAAAACCGACGACTGTTCACTGCCAATCAAGTGAAGCTCCCAATCGCGTCGGAGTCTCTCGGAATGCCGCTCCTAGGCAGCAAGTCTCACCCCACCGAAGCGCCTCAGTCTCTCATTGGCTCCAGCGGTTCTCGCGACTGTGGAAAGCTGCGCTCTGATTGGCCAGTCAGACCCAGTCCGTCTCAGTTTTAAAGAAGCAATGGGATCCGAGAAAACGCTGATGAATGGGATGTTTGTAGTAAGAGTGGAGCCATGTGTTTTATTTTCACCTCTATGGTCTGTCATCGTTCCTATAAACTTTCCCCGATAAACATGGTCCTGTATGTCTGTTCCTTCCCCACCGCTCCCATACGCTTTCCTTACACTCCTTGACCTTCTAAATGTCTGATGTAGGCTGAGGATGGAGCTCGGTGGTAGAGCGCTTGCCTAGCACATACTAAGTTATGGTATCAAACCCCAATGCTGAATGAAGAAAAAAACAGTGAGCAAATGGTAACATGTGCCTTCCAATGACTTGGAGTTCAAGGCTTGATAGAATCAAGTAACTAACACACAGTGGCATAATACAGATGAAGGACAACGTAGAGAACACAGGACAGTGAGCTCTGTTTCTTTTGCTTCTCCCCACCCCCACCCTGTGTTTGTAGGGGAAGAGAGTGTTATAACCTAGCTATTGCGCCACATTGCTGTTCTGTATGCGCCTGAGTAGCCATGATAAACAAGTTGTGCTGTGAAATTTCTCTCAAGTCTTTGTGACCTGACTGTTATGCTGTGCTGATAAACATGTTGTGTTACACCAAAATAATGTTCCCTTAAAAGGACATGATAAAAAACCAGCTGTCCTTGTATTGTAGAGCAATGCGTCAGCTGTTTGATCTGCTTTCCTATACCAATCAAGTAGAAACACCTCAATCTTTGAGTTTGGTTCCCCAATCCAAAGCTGCCACTAATAATCACCCCATACCCGCCTCTTTCTGTGGTTTTTGTGCTTAAATTTAGTGTGCTTAGTCTGTGAGGCGCGCATTCTCGGGGCCGGTCCTATGAGTTTGCGTCAGCCAGGCCTGAAATAAATGCCTTTGCTCCCCAAATTTGGAGTCTCCGAGTCTTGGCTTCCCACGGGGGTCATGAGACCACCACAGAGAGTAGAGTCTTAAGGGTGTAGTAGAGGCATGGGAAATGGCTCAGACAAGTTCCAGAGAAAAAGACTGCAAAGTTAAGTTTAAATAATGTGCAAGGCAGTGAAGGGCTTCACACATAATCTCTCTTCCTCTAAGAGCTTCTTTTCTCTTTTTTGGCATGGATTTGGACTCACAGAAGGTACAAGGTAAAATTTATTCAGGAACTGCTAATTCCAGACTTGAGAACTTTTTGGTCAAGCAATTCAACTTATCTGGAAGCTAAATTCACAGTTTATATTTACTTTGAACATTAATCCTTTCTATCCATTCTCCCCACTCTCTCTCCCCTCTCTTATCAAGATGAAATTATTATAACCGTAAGGCTTGAGGTGTTCTTCAGAAACTGTCAACTGTCCAGGAGAATTCAACCATGAGTAGAGCTGACACCATGTTTTAACTGAGTTTTATACTCTTGGGCGGGGCTGCCTCCCCCATTCAGCCAAAGTCCCACTACTCCTTTCCCTCAGCTTTTCCCTCAGTGGCTCAGATCCCAGCTCTCTTTACTTCCTTACAGTTCTCTTACATGGTTTTAAATACCAGCTGTTAGCCTACTAAAGCTGTCTTCCAAGTGTCTTCATCCTGGCCCATCTTCTGCTTGAAGTCCAAAAGCCTACTCAACAGCTCCACTCAGGTGTAAAATAAACATCTCAAGCACATCAGCCTAGCATATTCAAAAATAGAGCTCCATGTATTTCACTCTTCTTCCTCTTCCTTTCTCCTTTTCTCTTCTTCCTCCTCCTCCTCCTCCTCCTCCTCCTCCTCCTCCTTCTCCTTCATCTTCCCCTTTTCTTCCCCATCATTTACCCCCTTTCCAAGACTCAAAACCTAGAGGTCCATTTTGATTCTTTTCTATTGCATTCTCTCATCCAATTCTTTTGAAAATCTGATCAGTCTACCTTCAAAATATACCCTGACTGATCCTCTCCTCATCTCTACTACTACCAACTAATCCAAATCACAAGCATTTCTACCTGGAATATGGCACCGCCCTCCTAACTAGTCTTTCTGAAGCTGCCCTGGCAGACAGGTATTGCTGATGCAGGAATGTGTTTAACTATTAAACACAGTTTAATATGTTTAACATATTAAACTATGTTTAAATAAGGACATGTGCCATGGAAATGGATTTTTCCGTTGCTGCCAGAATTCATTTTGAGTATATTAACTAAAAGGAGTATCAAAGATGGAAAGTACCTCATTTTGGTCTCCAGTCTTTTTCTACAAAATCCGAGGACTACCGTGCAATTTACAACAATAATCTTTATTAAATTGGGTGTGGTGGCACTACCCTGTAATCCCAGCACTTGGGCAGATGAGGCAGGAGGATCATGAAGAGTTCAAGGTCAGCCTGGACTACATAGTGAGTTCAAGACCAGTCTAAACTACCGATTGAGACCCTGTCTCAGAAAAGAGAAAGAATAATCCTTATTAAAAATGTACATATTTAGGAGTAGTTCATTGGTAAACATGTGCTTAGCATGCACAAGGCCCTGGATACAGTCTCCAGAACCACACAAAAAAATTATATTTATTTTTATCACCTCAGCCTCCTTTTTAGGATATTATCTACTAAAAGAAAAAAATGGTGCCTTCCACAGAGTTAAGTCGTGTGTCCCACACAAAACCTTTGGAGGTCAGGTTGGAATTAAACAATACTCCTTTCTCTGAATAAATTGTATGAACCACTGAAAATTTAAATGCATACAAGACCCTGTAACAATGGCTTGGTCCTATTCAGCAGTATTCTGTACTAAAATTTAATGTATAGACAAGAGTTAGACAAACATGAAGTCATTTACAGCTCTCCAAAGAGGAAGCCATACTGTCAAATTGTGAGCTTTGGTGTCAGGTAATCTGGGACCAGATCCTGATTCCACCTCTTATTAGTTCTGTGATCTTGTACAGACTTAACTACTAGACATTCAAAATCTATATGTGTGAAATGGGAAAATAATATTTATGCATTTAGTAGTGATTGCCAGACAGAAGTTGGATATGGTCTTCCATGAAGTAGCTCCATTTTACAAAACAGCAAACTGAGGCTTAAAATATTTAAGTAACTTTCCTATGGACAAACAAGAGATTGAGTCACACGATGGGAACCTGAACTAAAAAAATATGGCTATGAAATCATGTCTCCAGAACTAGCTCAGAGAAGGTAGCATAAAAAATGGTTAAGGGAGAGTAGAAGAGTCTCTAGGAATATGCAGTTGTTAAAATATACTCAGACACAACCACACTGGGTTTCAGTATCATTTATTCAAAAGATTTAGAGTTCAGAACAATCTTTAACATGGAAAAAATGTGAAACAACAACATTGCATCATATTAGCATACAAATATTCCCACTTAATTGAAAATTCAGTTTCAGTATTTCAACAAACTGTTTCAATTCAGATTTTTCATGATGAAATCAAGAGTAGTTCATATAATGAAAGAAAATTCTGTAATTAGATAATTTCATAGATGCCAGGAATTTTTAAGAATACCATCTTGGTTACTCCTTTGGGACAAGTGCTGAATCTTTCATTTGACTGTATAATAAAACTTGCAAATTTTAAACATGACGTCTTCTGTCTCCTCTTCAATTAAACACAGTTCCAAATATTGGGCTTCAACTCGACTTTAAATTCAGCTGTCCAATCCTGAGTTTAAAAAAAAAAGTGCTATGGTGAAAACCAATATAAAAGAAACAGAATCATTAGGAATGGAATCTTTAGCAAAAAATTAATATTTGACTTCTTTAACAAATAATCTTACTATAAGCAAGAACACTGGCATTTATTATGATTCAATATTACATTGTCGATATTACAGTGCAATATTACAATACTCAATATTCCAAAATGATTTCCATGCATTCCTCCCATTCAGACATCACAGTAACTACACCATTTTCCAACAAGGAACCAGCTCTGCAAGTTGAATTTTTTTTGTTAGGACCTCTGTAGTGTAGTGGGCATAGGTCTAAAAACAAATTCTTTTGCACTAAAAACTCCAGGGTTCTTTCTATGTCACCACCAACTTAATAACAGAACTTAGGCTTACATGTTATGAGACTTTTTGTAACCATGTTTCTTAAACAAAACTGAAATCAGATATTTTGAAACAAGTAGTGAAAAATATTTTTAATATCTTCCTTATTTTTTGTTTCAAGGGCTCCCAGAAGTCTATAAAATGAAAAGGTATGGTACTTCATTTCTTATGCCCACTACTTGTGGCTGGTGATTTGTTTTTTGTTTTCTCCTGTTTCTTTTTCTATATAAGTATACAGCTATATGACATATACAATAAAGACTTTATAACCCACATTTTTCTTCACTCAATACTACACCATTGAGAACATATAAGAGGACAGAGGATGTAGCTCACTGGTAGAGAGTGTGCCTCTTGTGTTTGAGGCTTTCAGTTCACTCCCTAGTACCACACACATATAAATAAACCAACAAAAATGTCATGGTGAAATCCTGATTTATCAAGTGATACATCTTTCATATAATCCCTGATGTATCAATCTTGATACAGTAACTAGCTTTCTTTATTGCATCAGCAGATCTAACAACAGTTTCAACACTCTTAGCAGACTTTTCACTTTAAACACACACACACACACATACACAAATTGTGCCATCGTTAACCAGTTTAACACTAGGGGAAAGAGGAAATAGAACCATGATATTGTATCAACTGCCAGACCAAAACAAAAAACAAACCCAAAACTTTTATCACGTGAGCACATTTAAAGGAAATAATACAGGAGAATTTCAGAAGTTTTTCTTCACCTGAATGCTTACTTTAGTCATGGCACAATTTGCTATCCTTCTTTTTTTCCAGTACTGCGGATTGAACCTAAGGCCTTCGCACTGAACTACATCCCTAACTCTTTTAAAATTTGTAATTTTAAGATAGTGTCTTGATAATTAATTGCCCAGGCTGGCGTCTAACCTGCAGTCTTCCTGCGTCAACCTCCCAAAGTGCTGGATTACAGGTGTATACTACCACATCTGTCTGGAATTTGCTCTTTACCCACATTTCTTTTCCAAAAATTCTAGCTACTTTAGTTTCTATTACTTTTGCCTAGTTCTTTCCTTACTTTATTATCTTTGTATACATACTTAATGCATATAACAGATTACATGAAATACAGTAGCGATAAAAAATATGAGTAATGAAACACTGTAAATTTGCCACCAAACTCATGAACCTACCCCATATGTACTCTTACCACAAATATACATGCAAAAAAATACATATTGTTTAGTTTTGCTTATTTTTATTTTAAAAATATACTATGTTCATAGATGCTGGGGGATGCAACCCAGATCCCCCTCCTGGAACCAGAACATTCATTACCCCATTTGCTAACAATCTGGCTAGGGTGTCCCTTCACAGACCTTGTCTTTGGCTAAGGGGAGCTGCTTTGCAACCCCCTCCCCAGGGTAAACTGCACCTAGTGAGTAGTTAATGCAGGAAAAGAAAATCTTAGACCACTTATTTCAGTTAGGGCTATCTCCAAAAGCCTTCCCAGCTTTAGAGCCTCTTGTGGGATCGCCTGAGGCTTCCATTATAAATGCAATTCGGTTCTGCTTTATCATGCTTTCCTCACTGTCCTGTAGGTGTTGTTCTCTGGGGTACTCCACAATGAACCCACAGCAAGCAATTCTCAACCTGGGAATTCAAACTATTATGGGTTGTGATACGTCCCCCCAAAAGGATATGCTGAAATCCTAACCTCCAACATGTGAGATACGGCCTTATTTGTAAATAGAATGTTTGAAGATGGAACCAAGTTAAGATGAGGTCATACTGGCTGAGGGTGGGCCTTAAATCTACTGACTGTGTCCTTACTAGGCAACTGTGACTGACAGAGACCTAGAGAGACAGAGGGGGAAAGTCATGTGACAGTGAAGCCAGAGGTTATTCTGATAGAACTACAAGCCCAGAAATACTAAGGTTTGCTGCTATCCACCAGAAGCTATGAAGAATCAAGCAAGGATTCTTCTACAGAAGCTTCAGGGAAAGTATAGCCCTGCTGACTTGGACTTCCAGTCTCCAGAACTGTAAGCAAATATACTTTTACTCATTAAAGCTACCCAGCATGTAACAATTTGCTATAGAATCCCTAGGAAACTTCTCTGTGGACCTAAAGCACATACTTAGGTAGTCTTCTGGCTGATGCTTTCTCTTTTAATTCAATACGATGATTCTAAGAATTATTCTTGTTGACTATGGCTGTTGCTATGGTTTGGCTATGGCGTGTCCCACAAAGGTTCCTATGCTAGAGGCCTTGGTCTTCAAGGTAGTAAATGGTACTAAGAGACAGTGGGAACTTTGAGGTAGGGCCTGATGTGATGTGATCAAGGTGCTACCCTCAGAAGGGATTCATACCATTCTCCAGGAAGCAGGTTAAGAGACTGGATTGGTTACCATCCAGTGAGTCATAAAACAGCAAATTCACCTTTCTTGGCTTACTCTCATTTCCTCTCTCACCATGTGATTTCACACATGCTTCTGGTATGTGGATGCCACCTTCAACATCATGATACCTGGTCGAGTTTCCAGAACTGTGGGTTAAAACGAACATCTTTTCCTTATAACGCACTCTCAAACATTTTGTGATAGTGACATAAATAGACTAAGACAACTGTGGTTCTCCATTCTTTTCAATGTTGATGTCAGTATCTCATCAGACATATAATAACAACATATAAATGAAAACTTTATTCTTTCTAAAATAATTAGCTCTTTGGTGGGATACACTGTATAACTGTTCCTTTGTTTTATTTCAAACTTCTTGAGAAATTTTACTATAGAAATGTAAATGTTGGGGCTGGGGATTTAGCTCAGTGGCACAGCGCCTGCTCAGCAAGTGCAAGGTCATAAGTTTGATTCCCAGTACTGGAAAAAAACAAAACAACAACAAAAAAGAAATGTAAATGTTAGTTATATATTAATCTTTCTATATGTGTGTTAGGCAGAATAATAACACCCAAAGATACCCAGTTGCTAGAGGAGTTTGTAGTGGTGTTAGGTGAATGTGGTGTTAGGTGGTGACGTTTGGGGGCTTGACCTGGAAGGGTGTATTCTTATCCCTGGTTCCTCCCTTCTATCTGCTTCTGGCCACTTTAAGATGAACAACTTTTTTCTGCCATGGCCCTCCACTACAATGTTTGTGCCTTGCAGCCAGCCAACCATGCACTGAACCGTCTGAAATTGTGAGCTAAAATAAACCTTTCCTCCCTTTAATTTGCAAGTATCAGATAGTGTATTTTGTCCCAGCAATGGAAAAGTGACCAATACAGCCATACTTATACTAGATAAATTTAGGGGAGAAGAAAAGCATAAGTGCAATTTCAATAGCTCTTTGATACCAGTCATTTGGAAATAAAACTTTAAAACTAAGTTTTAGTTAGAGAAAAATGAATTTTGTCAAGACACCAGTAATTTAAACTTCTGTTTCCTATTTCCTATTTCTACATATTGTCTCTTTGACATTACTTCTTCAGAATTGTCTTATCTGAAATTTATTTTATGTTTATATTAACAAGGAGATTAGTGAACACTTAACATAGATCTCTTTTTTGTCTCATTTGCAGGAAGACCAAAAGGTCCAAATGTAATATTTTCATAACCTTTTCATAAATAAGCTGCTCCATCAGCATTTCATGAATGAGTTTATATGGCATTTTGTTTATTTTTTGTGCAGTACTGGGATTGAACCCAGGGCCTTTGCACTGGGCCACATCCTCAGCCCTTTTTAAAATTAATTTTAAGACAGGGTCTTGCTAAGATGGCCAGGCTGAACTTGAACTTGCCATATCCTCCTGCCTCAGCCTCCTGGATTGCTGGGGTCATGAGTGTCAGCCACCACACCCAACATTTTTTCCCAGTACTAGGAACCGATTCTAGGGGCTTGCACATACTTAGCAAGGGCTCTACCACTGAGCTACTCCCCCAACCCCATGAATATTTTAATCACTTAAATGAGAATGCTAAAAGACTTGTTTTCCAAACTAGGAATATTTCTTATTCATAAAAGATGTTTAATAAACTGGTTAACACAAAAGACCCTATTTATAGAAATCCAATTCATTGAAAGTTTATACAAAGCAACTTATCAACAACATCATAATTTTGACTACAAGCTTCTAAGTGTATTGTCCTTCCGAAAAACCAGGACATTTGTCACCATATCCCTGAAACACCTCTTTTTTGTTCCTAAGACTCCTGCCAAGTCGAAGGGGCATTCTAAGCAGAAGGGACTGGAACGCCTGAGTAAGTGCTGTACGAAGAATGCTGGGAGCTGGGCCAACAGTGCAGGAGCTGCCTTCCTGCCTGCACGCTAAGCCGGTTGTTCTTTGGGATACTGGTTCTACAGTGGAACAAACGAGCTAATGATCTCTCTGCTGTGTAGTTTAATCAATAACCACTCCTGCGTGCAGTAACCTGGACGCAGCTGCTGAGCAATTTATCCAACTGACAACTAAACCTGCCAGGTGATTATTTTCTCACTATATAGCGTAGGCTGGCCTTGAACTTGTTTATGTAACACATGGCCTCGAATTCATGGGGATCCTTCTGCCTCAGCCTCCCGAGTGCTGAGATCACAAGTGCGCACTGCCACACCTGGCCAGGTGTTGTTGAC